TCTGATGGTACTCAATAATATGTATATCTCACAATATTTTGTCGGGCAAGAATTAACCCCACAGGTCCCCTTTTTCAGAATTTCGAAAAACAATCATAACTTTTTCAAAATCCATCAGAGGAATACATTCATAGAAAAAAACTCCCATCCACGTGTATTTTGAAAAAGTTATGTCGTGTAGAGAAATACATTGATGGAAAATAGTTTCATCCACGGAAAAATATTGGAGGTTTTAGTAATTTCATGGCCAGCCATGAATATAAATTAATTCTGATTCATGGTTTTATCTATAGAGTTCCTTAATGTATTTGACACTTGTGTTTTGACGTTCTTGTATATGGGTTGCGTGCAAGAACTGTCAGATGACCGACCCTGGAGGTGGAACAATGAAACACAACCTCATTTTTTTCATTTGTTTACAAATGATCGAAATAGTTTTTCACAATCACCTTCTCATACGAATCGTGTTTTTGGGCTATTCATTAATTTGCGCATGCCATCACATTGTGCTGTTGTACAATGCACAAAAAATGCTGCGAGAGACAAAGGAATATGATTCAGGTGAATAGTAGTGATCTCATATAATTTTCATTATAACGTTTTTTTATTTCTTATTAAAATTCCTTAAGCTAATACTGCTAATAGATTGGAAATGTCTACAACACACACGGCGATCATATTTAGAAATTTCACGATTATTTCTATTAGCTCCTATTACAGAAGGAATTCCGATGAGAAATCAGAGAAATTACCAAATTTCGAAATAAAAACTATATGTGAGTGAGAGAGAAACGAAATAAAAAAACATTATAATGAAAATTATGTGGAATCACTATTCACCTGAATCATATTCCTTTGTCTCTCGCTGCATTTTTCGTGTATTGTAAAACAGCACAATGAGAAGGCATGCTTGAATTAATGAATAGCGCGAAAAACACGATTCGTATGCCAAAATATTGTGAAAAACTATTTCAATCCTTTGATTCCTCTGTAAATAAATAAAAAAAGTGAGGTTGTGTTTCAATGTTCACCGTAAAGTCAGGTTGTGTTTCAATATTTTACCTCCAAGGTCGATCATCGTGCACGCGACCTATATAAATACAATAACCGCAAATAGTGTCAATACTTCGAGGAACTCTTGATATAAAACTATAGTCTTCAACTAATTCAGTCACTGAATCGAAATAATACTTCCCCAGCAAAGAATGGACTCGCAAACGCCATCGCGAGTCTTGCAAAAGAGGCGAACGACAAATTTCCGCTAGGACGAAACCAAATTGCTCATTCAGCTGTGGGGTAGTACCCAAATACAAAACAAACTGTACCTCACGCACCGCAAAGCCCCTGTCATGAGGTTGCTGGCAGCCAATAATATTCAACCTCGTATGGATTCAAAATAACCCCAAAACGCGTTCGAGGAACCTAACCAAATCGAAATAAACTTGCACCAGCTGAAGAGTAGTGGAGACTGAAGATCTATGCTAGAAGATCACTAGTTATCCCAGTTTTGTAGTATATTGATGGGAAATTTTTAGAAATTTCCGAATCAATACTGAATCTGGTTCATTAGAACAATTTATCGAATTGAAATACACAGTTTCTCTTGATTCAGCGAAATATTTCATCGGATCAACGAAATTTTACACTGAATCAACCAAAAGCCTAACAAAAAGATCGTTTGGGCCAATTCAAAATCTCTTTTATCAAAACAATGCATGGCTTTGTTTGTTTGGATGGAATCCAGAGTTCATGCAAGGAACATAAACTTTTTTCGAACTCTAAAGTCGCACTGAAACATGATAAGAATTTACTCATCTCAAGATTATATTTTGTCGTACATATCTGACATTTTCATTCGCTTAATTAAGATAAATGTTGCTTGATTCAACGATTCCTCTTTTTCTGTGTATTTTAAGTAAACTCGAATGGAGTAAATCGATTCCCAGAGTTGGTATAGTGGAAGCTGGAAATAACACGAACTCGCATCTTATTCTCCCAATTTGTTCTTAGATTGACACACCATTGAAATTTACGTCATACACATACATTCATGTAGCTATTTCGGACCGATTCTCTGGGAAGTGTTTAACAGGGTGGCTAAATAAGTGACGTTGTTGTCAAGAACTTCTTCAACAACCCCAGATTTTGCACTATTGATATTTGGTCCCGCTCTTTTCATCCATCTATTTGTGTGTATGTCAGTACTTGTCAAAGTGTCCGTAATCTAGAATGGGTTCCGTGCATGATCTGTCTGATGACCGACCCTGAAGGCAGAGATCTGAAGGTGAAACAACTTTGAAACAAACCCTCACTTTTCTTTTTTGTTTACAAAGGATTGAAACAGTTTTTCACAATTATTTTGGCATACGAATCACGAAGCGTGTTTTTCAGCTATTCATTAATTCAAGCATGCCATCACATTGTGATGTTGTACAATGCACTAAAAATGCAGCAAGAGACGAAGGCATATTATTCACTCACATATAGTTTCAATTTCGAAACCCTATCATTTCTCATTGAAATTCTTTGTATAGAAATACTCGTGAAATTTCTGGAAGAAGTCAAGAAGATTGATTGATTCATGCAATCAAACGGGACGATTGGTCTGACATGCTGACGAAATATATGATCATGTGTGTTGTAGACATTTTCACTCTATTAGCAGTATTAGCTTCTTATTGCAGAAGTGGCAGGAGGAATTCTAATGAGAAATAACATAATTTTATAATGAATAATACTATGCTTCACTATTTACCTGAAAAATCATATTCTTTCGTCTCTCGCTGCATTTTTTGTGCACAATGTGATGGCATGCTTGAATTGATGAATAGCCCAGAAAATACGATTATAATGCCAAAATAATGTGAAAAACTATCTTAATCCTCTGATTTCTTTGTATTCATATAGGAGAAGTGAGGTGATGTTTCAATGTTTTGAAAAAAAGTGAGGTTGTGTCTTTCAATTGTTCACCTACAACCTATATATAAATACAATAACCGTTAAAAATGTTGATACATCGAGAAACTCTAGATATAAAATTATAGTCTTCAACTATTTCAGTCACTGAATCGAAATAATTCTTCCTCAGCAAAGAATGGACTCGCAAACGCCATCTCGCGTCTTGCAAAAGAGGCGAACGACAAATTTCCGCGAGGACGAAACCAAATTGCTCATTCAGCTGTGGGGTAGTCCCCAAATACAAAACAAACTGTACCTCACTCACCGCAAAGCCCCTGTGATGAGGTTGCTGGCGGCCAATAATATTCAACCTCGTATGGACTCAAAATAACCCCAAAACGCGTTCGAGGAACCTAACCAAATCGAAATAAACTTACACCAGCTGAAGAGTAGTGGAGACTGAAGATCTATGCTAGAAGATCACTAGTTATCCCAGTTTTGTATTATATTGATGGGAAATTTTTAGAAATTTCCGAATCAATACTGAATCTGGTTCATTAGAACAATTTATCGAATTGAAATACACAGTTTCTCTTGATTCAGCGAAATATTTTATTGGATCAACGAAATTTTACACTGAATCAACCAAAAGTCTAACAAAAAGATCGTTTGGGCCAATTCAAAATCTCTTTTATCAAAACAATGCATGGCTTTGTTTGTTTGGATGGAATCCAGAGTCCATGCAAGGAACATAAACTTTTTTCGAACTATAAAGTCGCACTGAGACATGATAAGAATTTATTCATCTCAAGATTATATTTTGTCGTACATATATCTGACATTTTCATTCGCTTAATTAAGATAAATGTTGCTTGATTCAACGATTCCTCTTTTTCTGTGTATTTTAAGTAAACTCGAATGGAGTAAATCGATTCCCAGAGTTGGTATAGTGGGAATTGGAAACAACACGAACTCGCATCTTATTCTCCCAATTTGTTCTCAGATTGACAAACCATTGAAATTTACGTCATATACATACATTCATGTAGGTAGCTATCCGACCGATTCTCTGGGAAGTGTTTAACAGGGTGGCTAAATTAGTGACGTTTTGATCAAGAACTTCTTTAACCACCCCAGATTTTCCACTATTGCTATTGGTTCCCGCTCTTCTCATCCATCTATTTGTGTTTATGTCAGTGCTTGTCAGAGTGTCCGTGATCTGAATATGGATTCCGTGAACGATCTGTCAGATGGCCTACCCTGGAGGTAAAACTTCGAAACAGAACTTCACTTTTATTATTTGCTTACAAAGGATGGAAATAGTTTTTTACAATTATTTTGGCATACGAATCACGAAGCGTGTTTTTCGGCTATTCATTAATTCAAGCACATTGTGATGTTGAACAATGCACCAAAAATGCAGCAAGAGATGAAGGAATATTATTTCTCAAGTAGGTACATTGTGATCTAAAAGTACCATAGTCACTCACATGCATGTAGTTTTCATTCAGAAATTCTGTAATTTCTCATTGAAATTCCTCAAATTGAAATACTCGTGGAGTTTCTTGAAGAAGTCAAGAATAAGATTGATGGATTCATGCAATCAAACGGGAGGACTGGTCTGACATGCTGACGAAATATGATCGTGTGTGTTGTAGACATTTTCACTCTATTAGCAGTATTAGCTTCTTATTGCAGAAGTAGCAAAAGGAAATCTGATGAGAATTGACAAAACTTCATAATGAAAACTATGTGAGATCACTATTCACCTCAAAAATCACATTCCTTCGTCTCTCGCTGCATTTTTTTGTTTACAATATGTGATGGCATGCTTGAATTAATGAATAGCCCAGAAAACACGATTCGTATGCCAAAATATTATGAAAAACTATATCAATCCTCTGATTCCTTTGTGATTAAAAAATAAGAAAAGTGAGGTTATGTTCCAATGTTTTACAGGAGAGTGAGGTTGTGTTTCAATGTTTCACGTCCGACCTATATAAATATAATAACCGCAAAAAATGTCAATACATTGTGGAACTCTAGATATACAACTATAGTCTTCAACTATAATTCAGTCACTGAATCGAAATAATTCTTCCCCAGCAAAGAATGGACTCGCAAACGCCATCTCGCGTCTTGCAAAAGAGGCGAACGACAAATTTCCGCGAGGACGAAACCAAATTGCTCATTCAGCTGTGGGGTAGTCCCCAAATACAAAACAAACTGTACCTCACGCACCGCAAAGCCCCTGTGATGAGGTTGCTGGCGGCCAATATGCAACATCGTGGATTTTACAGAACCCCGGACGAGATCAAAACGAGATTGAGGAACCTCAAATGCCTCTACCACAGGATTAAGCGGAGCGTGCAATCGGGAGTGGGGATAGGAACGGTGGATCCTGATTGGCCGCACTATAAGGCCATGGACGAGATACTGAACAAGAAGAACAGCGCCAGACAGGACTTGTACAGGGACAATATCTTTGAGGGGCCGAGATGCGAGGATATCAAGCAGGAGTTGATGGACGAAGAAATTGATATCAACGACGATATGGACTCCTACACCACCAACAGTGTTAATGAGTAAGTTTTTTTGCTATCGACTTCGAAGGCTACAGCTGATGCTCACTATGTATTCAATTGCTACTGAATCTGTTGTGGAGATTAATACACATTTCATTTCGTCGTTGTATAGTTGTAATTTGCTTGAATAGGCGAGTGAAATAATTTTTGTATTTCTCAAATAGAATCATCACTCAAATACCTTTCAATTTAGGAAGTAAAAGCTGACCTCACGATTCCGTGAGTAGGTGCAGACCAAAACCAGTCGCCATATGTTGAAATACCATCGGGAACTTCAGAAATATAAGTTATTCAACAATTCATAAATTCTCAATTATTCATTGGTAATATTCCTGTTCATCAGTGAAGAAGCAATTGTTCCGAAATTTTTCTTCAAGTCTTGTGGCTTAGTAGTAGAAGCAGTAGAAGTAGTAGTAACCTTTATTTTCTTTTCGACAAGCTTTCTGCTTTTGTGTATGATATTACTAAAAAAAAATGATCGGTAGTAAATACCAAAAGTTTAATAAAATAGGCGAAAGTCATGAAATATAACCACTACAGAATAGTATGATACTTATAGCATACAGGGTGTTACTGAAGGACTGCGCAAACTTCCTTGTGATATTTTAGGAAATAAAGTTCATATGAACATGTGTCCTCCTAACTTGCTTCGTTTTTCATATACAGGATGTGGAAGTTGGAAGTACTAATTGTTTTTATTTATAACGCCCCTGTATAAGCTTTCATGGTGCCAAAATTCAGTATCGTTGGCAGTCGTTGGAGACTGCAAAGGTCCCAAAGAAGTCAGAAAAACCAAAGGCGCACAATGATATTAACCGTAAATATCGATAAATTAACCCACTGTGACGTCACTGAAAATATTATTCTGAATTTAATCACATCAAGAGATGCTCCATGTTACATTCAACAAAACCACTAAGTTTCATTGAAATTGGTAAAAATGCATTTGAGTAATTTTGTATATCGCTACTTCAAAGTTGGGAACCAACTCCCCGGAAGTCGAAACTTCTGAAATGAAAAAAAAAAAACGATTTTACATGAAAAGCAAGTTAGGACACATATTTAAAAAAACTTTATTTTCTGAACTATCACATGGAATCACCCCCTTGAGTTTGTTGCACTTATTCACTAACACCCTGTATATATATATATATGGATGTAGTGGCTGACGCCTATTTTGATAAACGTTCGGTATTCACTACCAATTATTTCTCTGAGTTATACTATATTAATTCACACTAGAAGACATTTGAACCGGTGAACGTGATAACACGGGGCGCACGAATTGTGGGCGTTGTCTTGTCAGTTTTCAGAATTGTTCAGTACGTTGTTGCCAAATCTTCGACATTGTTATGATATTCTGTTGTGGAGTATAAGAAATATTTGGACATGCTGGTTGCTCGAAAAAGTCAAGAATGAACTATAATATCATAGGTTCCTTATATTATGTTTCTTCTTGTGTTTTATTCAACGACAGGACTCTAATATATTTTTGATAACTTGATTATAATTGGTAACTTGACAACCTTGCTCCATGAGTGGGAATGGAAGATTATCTGACCAATAACGAAACAGCATAAAAACTGACGTCACCATTTATTCGACGTATCGCCAAATAGCAGCCATGACGGTTCGTATGAAATGAGCTCTGAAATTCAACAATTTCGAACGACGCAGACTCATTATTTACATAAAAGAAGCGTGAGAAGTTTTACAATTTTTTTTTTCTGTGACGGGACTAAAGATCGAAATTTCATCTCTGTTGACAGGTTATAAAATGTCACTTTTCATAAATTACTTTTTTCCCACGGAAAAAATTGATGGCTTTTGATGTGCTATATAGTTCCGAAAAATAAGTTCATTACACCGTCTCTGAGAAAAAACTGCAAGTCCATTTATCTTCCATTCGACTTCACGGTTACGTGAATTACTGAACAACCACTAAATTCGCAATTTTTCAAAATCAAATCACAGAATTATGTAATTAGCATTTTACATCAGGTTCCTGTTTCGGCGACTACAATAGCCAAAGTGGTTAAGTATATAATGGCCATAAAATCAATATCATGTTCGTCAGTTAATATTTTAGATGCATTCTCGATGAACATAAATGATACAGGATGTTGAATATCCATGGCTGAAAATAAATGCAACAAAGTCACAGTTAGCACAAATAATTAGGTTATGTCGGTGACTCGGTGACCGGTCTACTCTACCTCGAACGTTCAACGTTGAGATCATCAGGGATATCACTCCAATGAGTGACGTCACCATATCCTGTGATAGATCACTCTACATCGGGAGTGAATTCCTGAACGCACTCCAGACAACGAACGAAAATCATTCATCGATTGTCATTGATTCTGAGACCACCAACAGTTGTCATTTATGTGTCCGAACTGGTACAATATAATACCATCGCAGTGATTGGCCACGTTTATACCTACCGTTTGGATCTTTGGTATGCTTACCAAGGCGATTTGACCAAATTCAGACCAAATGTCTTATTTAACGCATGTTTACCATATACGTATTAATAATCAATACGGATAATCTCTATCTGTTTCCATAGCGAAACATGAAGCCGATTTTTGAAGACAAATGACTATCCATAAGGAAAAGTGAGATACGATCAGACACATACTGCTTTGATTGAAAGGCTAGTAAACGTCATTGTCCACCGAAACGCATGTCTTTGATGACTACGTATCATGCCACCAAATCCTTATGGATATTCATTTGTTTCATATTTTTGGCTTCATCCTGGCACCCGTTATGATCCGTATTGTTTATTAATACGTATATGATGTTTACACCATGTATCTTTAGTTGAACTTCACCAACTTTGATTTGATTATATTTTTGAGGTTAGGTTGTGGAAATCCACTCAAATTCGTAAATCATGGATAATAACTTTTAGTAGGATTCGAAATTAGCTGAAATTGAATGGAGAATTGTCAAGAAGTCTCATGAAATAACAGATACTTGCACTTAACTATAGTCAAAGCTATACAAAAGTAGACCAAAGTGTTTACACCGTTTTGGTCATCATACTATTTTAGTCTGGTACGCAACGAGTTTCGGTACCAAACCAAGCTGGAAACTTTACCAAGTCTACAGTTTATACCACACTAACCAAGAGTATTTAGTTAAAATATAGTCATTAGTCAGCTGACCAAGACACGGTATAAACGTGGACATTATTCGCGATGGAAAATAAGCGTACGCCACCTATCGAAGTTCTTGAAAGCTGTCAAAGCGGCCTGTTCACTTTGTTTTTTATTGGTTCACATTTGTTTTTTGTTTGTGCTGATTGGTCATATCATCAAAACAAACCGCTCAGAAGTGTTCAAGTTGGCGCCGTCAGATGAGGCGGCGTGTTATTTTCTATCGCGAATAATCAATAGTGAAGGAAAATTCATCCTCACCACCCAGTATATCAAAAATTAATTTTTATTCATTACACAACGAGCGAATATCATCCATCGATTGTCAAAGTTGGATTAATTGAATCTGATACGACCTCTATACCAAGTTGCTTTCCTAAGGAGTTATAGGCTTTGAAAGTGAAGTTATAAATTTTGAAAAAAAATCAATATCTCCGTTATTCTTGAACTTAAAGCAACCAAATTTGGTACACTTTGTGGATGTATTTGGGGCGTTACTTGACAGTAACTAGAGTTTAATTGAAATTTGTGAAGGGGGTATACCGGGTGGCGCACCATTAATATTCAACAGAATTTTGTTAACCCTTGATGGATTTCGAAAATCTTTGCTTTGTTTTGTGGGCAATTCAATTCTGAAACTTTTCTTAGTCTAGTAATTTCTCGAAAAACCTCATCATTTTCATCAAAAACTCTGATAACTGAAAACGCGCGCTCTAGGTGTGTTAATCAAAATCATCGAAAATTCAAAAGTTGGCTATGGGAAGCAACTTGGTATAGTTGGTATAGTAGAAGTTGCGTTACATTGCCATATTATGTGAATCACCCTGTATATTTTTTGCCAGATCTGATGCCGAATTCGAAGAAGACGGTCACATGCCACCTCTCACCCCCGCCCCACCGACCCCGAAAGAAAAACCGGAAGAACCCGAGCCCGTCCGAATAGCGCCGAAACCAATCGTACAACAAAAGGTCAGTAAAACTATTGTTCGATTTGTCGATTTCATTATACAAAAATCGACCTGTTTCGGGAATTTCTGATTTTATTGTTCATTTAGCCAATAATGAATTTATGCGTTACTTTATGGACGCACTATATACACAGTGAATTGTTTTCATTATGATATCTGATTGTGCGATTAATTAATTGACAAAAACAAACCAACACTAATTAACTAACACAACACAAAACGTAGATACCTGATAGCAACAAATATATAGTAATAAAAAGTTCATCTAGAATAAGCACCTGATTAAATATTTACTAAAACAATTGAATTGCGGAATTATTCAGTTACTTATTCATTGAATTGTTCAAATTGATGTCCAATTTTGCTCACACACTTCCTAATACGTCCTGATACTTTCAAAATTATTGAAATATTGTCTTTGTAATTTCTGGGAAACTGCCTCTGCCTGTTGTTGCACGAAGTTCTTCAAGATTGTTATGCCTCTCACTGTATCAAGACGTATTGAGAAAGTGTGACAATTGTGTGTTAGGGAAAATGGACATCAATTGGAACAATGCAATGAATAAGTTACTGCTATAGGTACCTAAGTTTTTTGGTTTGTTAGTAAATCAGTGTCGATATTTTTCGGTCTTGCCCATAGAAAAATTTGTAAAAATATTTCTTCACTTGGAACTTTTTCATATGAATAATCCATAGTCCACTATTGAAATTCAATGTTTCAGTGATTTTTGAGCATTTTTGAAAATTTTATATTTATTCGTCGTTTTTCATCGTTTTGAAGGAAAGAAAATACAGGGTGTTCTATTTGAAAAATCATAAGTTTGAGTTGTATCTGCAAAACCATACCCCAAAAAAAATTGTTGAGTGCCTCACTGGATTTTGCGTAAAACTCTATGGAAGAAGATTTTGATCTGTCATTTTTGCGTAAAAACTTCATAGATATAGAGGGGATTCAAAAAGTATACATTTTCAAAATTGCCCAGTATATCATAAACGGAAACACTTATGCAAAATCCGATAAGGCCATCTTGAGTTTCACAAAAAAGTGGCACAGGACCGCGAAAACCGCAAGGTTCTATCTCCAAAGATTACTCACGCAAAAGCATCGAAAACTGGACACACTGTACACTTCATATAATCTTCTCGATATAATATGAGTTGGGGAACTCGCAAGGCTGACAATATATGTGGTGTCCATATCCACAAAGAGAAATCCTCAATACAATAGGTATTTTATGCGACTTACTTCCCTTGGTTCTCACGATGTTCTCTGAACATTACAGGATATCCCTTTTCGTGGGAACCAGAACATGAGAAGAAAAAAATCGCAAGTTGACTGGGTATATTTGGTGCGTTCAGTCTCTAAACGTTAGTGTCAAGGTCTAGTAGTGAGAGGTTAGGTTGATATAGAAAATGTTTGTTCAACATGCCGATCATACTAAAATTTTCTTTACAAATTGAATTTCAGTGCCTATCATCATTTTGTCTGAAGTTGAGTGCTATTTATCCCTGAATATGAAAATATTATGACATTCATGTCCATGACAGCCTGCTGCATATATTAGTCTCTTCTATGTCATTTTGTTTTATATTTGATCAAACTACCAATAAGAAAGCGGAATACAAAAATGAAAACTTAGTCATGAAGGTTTCCAGTAGCCAATCAACAGTCGTAATACAAAAACGAAAACATCATGTTTTCGATCATCAACACAGATATTTCAACCAATCATAAACGTGTATCTTGAAATTAGTGAAATAATATATCTAATTGCCATCTATCGGATTGAAAGCTTCACTATTTCAGACAGTTCCGGTACGGGATATCTGAATAAGTAATGAATAATTGTAATTTTTTTATCTAGAGCGCGAAATGCTAGTTTGGTGATCGGGACCTGATTTAAAAGAAAATATTGAGATGACCAAAGTATTTCGCGCTCAAGTTGCAAACAACATTTTTTCTACAAACGGCAAAAAAATTTAGTTCTAAAGTAAACATATGCTTAGCTTAGCTTGATATCAAAAATAGTGTTGAACTAGCTTGAAAGGCCTTCCCCTATCCTCCCTAGGTACGCACAATGTTCCAAGAACATAATAGGAATTTCCTTCCGTGCGCTCCAAGAGATAAAACAAAGGTATTGTTGAACGTTCAGGAATAAATGATTTCGTGGATGTTTGCTCGATTGAAAAGCATAAAGTTGAAATATAAAAATCTCATATACCGGGTGGTCCATTCAAGACTATCCACCCTCGTTATATCTCCCAGAATTATTATTTTACGAAAAAATGACGAAACAGGTCGAAATAGGAAATAAGGGTCGTGTTATACATCGTTGCGAAGGTAATTCAATTCTGAAACTAGCAGTGGAAAGTTTTTTGAATTCCCACAAGTCGTTCTCGAGATATTCGAGTTCAAATGGTATGTTTTCCAATTGCGAGTAAGTGAATGTACGGAATGAATTATTGAATGGTTATCCACAACAAGTGTTCAAAATTAACTTCATTGACTTCCAGACAGTGGTAGAATCTATTTGTAAATTCCTTTCGCACATTTGAGATGTTCCTCTAGTTATTGCCTGGCATTCAACCCTAATTCTTCTCAACTCATCGTCCAGATAATAGTAGATTAGGTTTTATAAATAACGAATTTCGGATGACCCCAAAGTAAGAAATCATTGGGTGCCATGTCCGGCGAGCATGCTGGCCATTTTAATGGTCCTTCACGACCTATCTATTTGTTTGGGAAATTTTGGGGTAGCCATTTTCTCACCTGTGATACGAAATGGAGTGACACATCATCTTGTTGAGAATAAATATTATCTGCCAATAGCTTTCGATTACCATCATCATATAGGTCCGTAGAGAACCAATAGAATGGACGGCACGTCTGCCGGACTTGGCACCCAATGATTTTTTCCTATGGGGTCATTTGAAGTCGGCAATTTATAAAAGGGAACCTACTGACCTCGATGATTAGGAGAGAAGAATGAGAACTGAATGCCAGGCAATGTCAAGAGAAACATTCTCAAACGTACAAGAGGAACACACTACACTGTTTTACCACTAACCAAACCGATTTTTTAACGCCTCGACACGTGTTTCGCTAACTATGTTAGCATCTTCAGGAGAAGATTAAAACTAAATATCCTATTCTAGTGTGCTGCTTATATACTAGGTATAGTATATAAACAGCACACTAGATTTTTTAACGCCTCGACACGTGTTTCTCTAACTATATGTTAGCATCTTCAGGAGAAGATTAAGACTAAATATCCTATTCTAGTGTGCTGCTTATACAGGGTGGGCCACCAGTAACGCCTCGGTCTCTAGAAGGCTAACCACTTATCTTCTTGGAATTATTCTTCCTCTCTAGGAAGTTGCATGTCAACATAGGCTACCATTTGAAATTATTTTGAAACATACAGGATGTCCCCAAAAATCACAAAACACTGATGTTGAACTTTTTTCAATCGAACACCCTATATATTATTTCATGTTGAGATTCTCCCTGGTGAGCTGATTTCAACAATCCATCATACTTGGGGTCTAGCAGTTATAATCACTGAGATATAGGGTGTGAGAAATCGAGATTTTTCAAGTTCAAGAATTTTTTGTGTCTAAACCATTCATAATTGGTCAAAACGGCTCACATGTCCCTATCTCAACTTTTGATCAACTATCTACTGACATTTAATTGAAACAAATACAGGGTGGTGTAGAATTCAGAATCTTGATCACCCGGTATATGTCCCAATTAAATATCAGTAGATAGTTAATCAAAAGTTGAGATAGGGACATGTAAGCCGTTTCGACCAATTATGAATAGTTTCGACACAAAAAATTGTTGAACTTGAAAAATCTCGATTTTTCACACCCTATATTTCAGTAATTATAACTGCTAGACCCCAAGTATGATGGGTCGTTGAAATCAGCTCATCAGGGAGAATTTCAAAATGAAATGATATATGGGGTGTTCGATAGAAGAAAGTGTTTTATGGTTTTTGGGGACACCCTGTATGTTTAGGAATAATTTTAAATGGTAGCCTATGTTGACATGCAACTTCCTAGAGAGGAAGAATTCCAAGAAGATAAGTGGTTAGCCTTCTAGAGACCGAGGCGTTACTGGTGGCCTACCCTGTATACTAGGTATAGTATATAAGCAGCACACTAGAATAGGATATTTAGTCTTAATCTTCTCCTGAAGATTCTAACATAGTTAGAGAAACACGTGTCGAGGCGTTGAAAAATCGGTTTGGTAAGTGGTAAACCAGTGTAGTGTATTATCGTGCCAAAGGTTCCAGTCTTCGATATATGTACAAGAGGAATTTTCAAATAGACTATACCACTGTCTAGGAGTCAAAATGGAGGCCATTTTGAACATCTTTTGTGAATACCTGTTCAATAATCTATTATTTACATTCATTTATTCACAATTAAAAAACATACCATTCGAACTCGAATATCTCGAGAACGACTTGTTGGAATGCAAAAAACTTTCTACTGCTAGTTTCAGAATTGTCAGAACAAGATGAGTTGTGTTTCCACTATAAATTGATATTAGTTAATAACACGATATAAAAGGGTGGTTAGTTCATCATGTCACAACAAAAGAGTTAATGGGTCGTTTCCACCATATCGATTCATAGGGGTAAAGCTTGGCTTAATATTCTGCGAGAGGTAATATTCAAATAGGCACTAATAGTTTAGGGGTATCTGGAAGTATGAGATTATATTCAAACATAACAATATTTATTGCAGCATGAAACATTATGGGTAGTGATGATAGATATGAATAAACAACAATGAATATAAAGACCTAATAACAACTTACATTATAGAGACCATAACGACGAGCTCTTGTCAAGTCAAGAGTAGCCCCAGACCAGACTAACTTCGGAACCCTCACATCCAATATTTATATACATCATTTTATTGGATATGCACGACGTTTCTCATGAGAGTTCCTTGGTCAGTTTTCATAATTCAATGTCAACGGATGATTTGATTTACTTTATGTTTATAAAACCCTCATGGTTCGAAATTACTGATATACCGTATGTTCTACTCGTGACAATACCTTCGCAATAATGTATAACACGACCTTTATTTCCTATTCAAATTATTGAGGGGGTTGCTCTGGGGAGTAGAGGGTTGCACACTATGGATTATTTATTTTACACTACACTGTTTTACCACTAACCAAACCGATTTTTTTAAAACGCCTCGACACGTGTTTCACTAACTATGTTAGCATCTTCAGGAGAAGATTAAAACTATTTTACGTCAAAAGGTGTCCCCCTCCATATAGAAATCGACCTGTTTGGTAAATTTTTTATAAAATAATAATTCTGGGAGATATCCAGGGTGGATAGTATTGAATGGACCATCCGGTATTTTACATAACAATGCGCGAAGTAGGTACTTCGCGCACTGTTTTACTTCGCGCATTGTTTTGTGCAAGGTATCATGGTAACGTAGGAAACTGAAAAAAAGTGTCACTTCGCAATTTGTTATCAATGCGCGAACCTTGCCATTTTTTGACGTTTGTAGAAAAAATAAATGAAAGATGTATTGATCCTCTCAACTATCAGTAACAATCGATAGGATACGCCAATGTTACATGTCATAAAAACAAAACACTGTAATAATTAAGGAATTGCCAAATTAGACGAAACGAAATAGTGAGACAATAGATGAAACAATTACAGTGATGACTAACATAAATTGAGAAATACTTCGGTATGATTGATAAAATGATTCGTTTTTGAGCAACAAAAATTCTAGTTATATCCGATTGCCTGTCCCCATACCAAAGTTTACAGAATTAAAAATAATAAACTTTGCCCATACTGATATGCTGTATGAAATTGTGGAATAATCAAATGCATATAGTAAACCTGTAATAATGAATCTGCGTTCAAAATATTTCTTAGTGTCGCCAAAATGTGAAAGCTTTTTGATTTTTTTTTAAACCATTTGTATTTGATCCCCCCATGTTAAGATACAATCTATGAGCGTTCCTAAGAATTTAGATGAAGTCGAGGTTTCAACAGTATTATTATTGATTTCGAAGATATTTTATATTTTGTATGAAACTTGATTATTACTGTAGTAATCCGCAGAATTGTTCAGAAGCGAGTCTGCTTTTTGCTGTAGTTTATGGCGATCAGGATCAGAAACTACAAAACAAACTACAAATATGAGATTTCATTCTATTTGAGGGGCGTTTTCTATGAAATGCACGAAACGAACGATATTTCTCTATTTACAGGTTGTCCAGCCCAGCAGCGGCCTGCAAATTCCCGTCACCACCTCTATCAAGTCGGGCACGAACGGTGCGACGTTGCCGTTTCCGCTGCTCATTCTCAACGGACTTTCCAACCAGGCTCATCAGACCAACGGGAACTCCAAGAAGGATGGGATCGGAAACGGAGGCATGGGACAAGAAGGTATATTTATTTAATTAGTAATTGATTAATCAATTTATTTATTTATTGAACAAATAACTTCCAGATAGAATAGGCTCTGGTATGAGGTAGTACATAATAATATACCTATAGGCATACATTTCATCATTCAGAATACATCAACACAGCTATAAATTGGCGGACAAAGAAAAATATTTGTAGAAAAAACATAGTAAAATAACATGACTAATTTTTTATCCAGTTTGCTCAGAAATAATCAGTTTTTTTTTATTTACTTCTACTTTTTGAATGTACCTATATTTCTGCAGTTTTTGATATTGGCAGGTAGTTTATTGAATTCAGTAAAGGCTGAATGGTTTTTTGGTTTTGGTTGAGTGAGAATTGATCTCATTGTATTTCCGGTCTTGAAAACAGTTTGCACTTAACATTATTATTATCTGAATATTTCATTTCCATACAAGGTGTATCGAAAAAATTCAAGGGAAGATACCTTGTGATATTCTAGCGAATAAAGTTTATATAAACAGGTGTCCTTACTTGCTCCGTAATAAGATACCGGATGTTGAAGTTGAAAGTATAAATTGTGTTCATTTATAACCTACTTGTAGACCTGTATAAACTTCCATGGTGCCAAAATTCAGTATGGTTGGAGACTGAGAAAGCCCCAGAATTTCGAAATGATTGTAATTAGGGTTGTTGAGTAATCTCAATGGAAGTCTTGAAAACACCTACATCGAATTTGGAGTCAAATTTTTCCTCGAAAACTAAGCTAGATACAAAAATCACACAGAGAATGAAATATTTGTCATTTCGATAGTTCAAACTGATAAAAATATGAAACTCAGAAAAACTGGTGGCGTATTATGACATTCACAATAAATATCAATAAATTGAAAGTAAATATCGTAAAATGAACGTCTTGATTTTATATCTTAACTCAACTGTTTTCTTAAAACTTGAGTGTATTGTAATCTTTCTGTGTAGTGCATTTTTCTTTTTTTTTGTGATTAGTGTATTTTACTGTAGGAAAGGAACCGAGATAGGAACTGTCTGTCTGTAATTGGGCCATGGCCTGTTGATTTGGCAGTATAAATAAAGTGATATATAAATTTACCCACTGTGACGCCACTGGAAATATTATTATTCAGGACAACGTTTTATTGAAATTGATCAAAAGACAATTGGTAATGAATAAAAACACATTTTCTGTATCTCGAAAACGAAGCAAGTTCAAACACATGTTCATATGAACTTCATTTCCTAAAATATCACAAAAGGAATCGTTCCTCGAATTTTTTCAGTTTCATCTAGATACACCCTGTATAAACGAGGAGAGAAATCCCAGAAAAATCTAAAGAAATATGCACATAACAGCATTCTAAATATTCAACAGAAAACAACTACTTTCCTGGCTATTTGCCACGTCGAACATCGAATCATATCTAAATAGAAATGTATAGTAGGAGCATATACTTGCACAAATAAATTACCAATTTTTAAAATTTTGACAGTTTTTATATACAGGGTATCCCGAAATTACATAAAGAATGATTCCAGCAACAGATTCTTGGAACAGAAATTGTATAAAAGTTCATATACATGAGTGCAGAAATAGCCCCCTGGGGATTTATATAGCCATCTGAAAGAGGGTCCGAGATGATGGGTTTTGTAAATATTTGCGAAACCCTTTGTGTTGAGATAACTTAATTTTGGAAATGTTGTGAATTTTTCGAAATTTTGTTCAGAGGCGTGGGAAATAGGTGGGGCTAGGGACATATCTTCCCCCTGTTTTCAAATTATTATCGTGTGTGTTCAATAGATATAATTCAATGTTCGTCGTGGCATATAGCCAGGAAAGTAGTTTTTTCTGTTAAATAAACCGAGAAAGAATTACTATTTTAATCACATGGAGAATGGAGACTGCGAATTCTCAATGTATTTCTTTATTTCTTTATTTATTTATTTATTCATTTATTTATTTATTTATTTATTTATTTATATCCAAACAGACCTATTAGGTCTACTTACATGGATAATGATCAATACAATATAAACTTATATAATAATGCAGGTGTACATAATATGGCATAGGGTGATGAAGTAGATCAGACTGAAACCTGTACAGTATAAAAAATAATATTTGACAGATTTACCTTTATACATAATATGTATACAAAGAAATAGCTACATTAATATAAACTTATTGCCATTAAAATGATAAATTAATAATTTGCGATAACAGTGTCTTTCGAAAAACATTTTGTGAGCCTGTCCAATCTAAGTCAGTAAGGGAATTAAAGTGATTTGCTAATCTACACATGGATACAAGAGGAGCTCTCGTAGAAGTGGGAGATAAAGGAATGTTAAACATTACGGAAGTGCGAGTCCTTCTTGGAGGAACGTTAAAACGCAACTGAGACAAAATCTTAGGGGAATTTATTTTGTTATTAATAATTTTAAAAAGAAAGATCAATACTGCAAGTTTTCGCCTATCATCTAAAGATAGTATCTTAAATTCATTTCTGAGATGTATGGTTCTCACTGTGTTATAATCTGGTCGGAAGTGATATTTCTTATAATAAATAAATCTCAAAAATTTGTTTTGAATTTTTTCCAACAAAGATAATGTGGACTGGTTTTCAACAAACCAAATATATGGGAACAATACTCCATTTTGGGTCTCACCAGACTATAATAAAGAGTCTTCAGTGCCTCTATGCTGGAAAAGTTTGAGGCCTGCCTGATTACATAACCCAGTAAACGATTCGCTGACCTCGTAATATTCTTTATGTGTTTGGTAAAAGACAATGACTGATCATAAGTGATACCAAGATCCTTCAATTCAGAGCATCTCTGTAGGAATTCTTCATTAATCATATAATCAAAAATGATAGGTTCTTTATACAGGGTGGCCCACGAGGTTTTGGCCAGTCGACATCTCGGAAACTATTTGAACTATAATTTTGAAATTTGGTGGTTTTAAACAGTGAAATGTGGTGTTCATTTTTGATATAATAGGGTTTTATTGCAACATCGCATTTCCGATCACGTGACATCAACTTCAAAATTTCAAATGGAACACCTTGTATATTATTGCATTTTCGTGAAGTCCTTTACAATAATACAAATACAAATTCTGCGATACCATAATTGTCAGCGGTTTTTCGGCACTACAGTTAAGATATAGTTATTTAACCAACTAGTGTATTAATGAGGGCGATTAATGATCGAGATATTTTAACGTGCGAGCGAAGCGAGTGCGTTAATGTTCGAGATCATTTGACACATTTGACATTTGTCGAAATGATCAACATAGGAAATAACTCCTTGTGTTAGAAAAAAGGGATTAATATCATGTCAGAAACTTGGAAAGGCGAACCCGTTAACGGAAAATCGTCGATGAAATCCATATTTCCGATTTAAATGCAGATTCCGTAAGTTATAGCATATACAATGGATGCACGCGGTGTATGTTTGGTTGCCTATAAAACAATCGTGTATTAATAGACAAATCGTTCATTAATAGGGGTCATTAATAAACGATTTCATATACATTAAACTCAGCCGTTAATACGAGGTCGACGGAAAAAGAGGTTTTTATGAACATTTCTGTATTTTTATTCAAAAAACGTGATAGCTTAGGAAGAGAAAAAGTATCCTAGTAACAGAAATACATCGCACTTGTCAAGGGCTGTCAATCAGTATCAGTAGATTGGCTTTGTGTACAAGTAGTATCAAGACTAGTATGCCTTTACATTTTACTTACGACGAGTATGTCAATATGCTGCTCATATACGGCGAGTGTCGAAAAAATAGTAGGCGTGCTCGAGATTTGTACTGAGAACGTTTTCCCGACCGAACAACTCCAAGTAAAAATACTTTCGCTTATGTGGAACAGAAATTAAGAAATGGTTCTTTTCCTAGTGGAAAACAGCAAATTCCACGCAGAAAGCCTATTCAAACAGAGAATAACGTAATTAATATTCTGGCTTATGTTCAAGTACACCCACATATCTCAACTAGATGTCTTGAGCAAGAATGTGGAGTAAGTAGAAATACAATCCAGAGAGTATTAAAGAATCATGATTATCATCCTTACAAAATACATTTAACACAAGGTTTGAACCCTGCAGACCCTGAAAGAAGACTAATTTTTATAGCTGAAATGACAGTAAAACTCGCATATGACCATTTTTTTAAAATAAAATATTGTGGACTGATGAAAGTCGATTTCACAACAACGGTACTGTAAATCGACACAATTGTCACTACTGGTTGGCTGAAAATCCGAAATGGATGCGAGAAACTAATTTCCAGACAATATGGGGTGTAAATGTCTGGTGCGGTTTATTCAACGGCCGTTTGATTGGGCCGTATTTGTATCAAGGAACTTTGACCGGCGAAAGGTATTCAGATATTCTCCAGAATATGCTTTCCGCTTTACTTGAAGATATTTCCTTGAACGAAAGATAGACGATGTGGTGGCAGCAGGATGGTGCACCTCCTCACTATGCCCGGCTAGTTACGACATATCCTAATAATACTTTCCGTGAAAAATGGATTGGGCGAAATGGTACAATAAATTGGCCGGCTCGTTCCCCAGATATGACACCTTTAGACTTTTTCCTCTGGATATATTTGAAAGGTTTGGTTTATTCTACACAGCCTACAAATTTAGATGATTTACAAAACAAAATCAGAGCAGCGTGCCAAACTGTTACACCTGAAATGATTAGAGCAGCATGCACTAGAAATCTTTTAACAAGATTTGAGCATTGCGTTACTGAAGATGGACATCAATTTGAGCATCAACTGTAATGCTTTTTCTACTTATTTTGTTTCGTTTCCTAATTATTATACTGTTGTTCTTTAATAAATTTTCCATTTTCCATTTATTTAACAGGTCATATTTTCACCGTTTCACATGAAAACTCTGACGATGATGGTATCGTAGTATTTGCATTAGAAAGGTCTTCACAAAAATGCAATAATATACAGGGTATTCCATTTAAAATTTTGAAGTTGATATCACGTGATTGGAAATGCGATGTTGTGATAAAACCCTCTTATACCAAAAATGGTCACCGCATTCCATCGTTCAAAACCACAAAAATTCAAAATTGTAGTTCGAATAGTTTTCGAGATATCGACTGGCCAAAATCTCGTGTTCCACCCTGTATATCTATTTTTTGGTGTTCACACTTATATCTGAGAATATTCCTGTCCAATACTTTCACCCAATCAAGGGGTTCAAATTTAAACAATGAAAACTTGTTATTTTTATAGAACTCAATTAGTCGGGGCTAAATTCCAAAAAAAGCCCTCCGTTACAATCCTAGAAGCATTTCATGTAACAATTGGATAAATGCTGTTAACCCCCTATTTTGACCCCGCTGAATCCGAAAATACCGTGTATCAAGTCGAAATTCCAACCGGAAGTGAGATATTCAAGATGGCGTCCAGAATACCCCTAAAATCAAATTATTTTCTACTTTCGGTCAGCTATACGATTGAGGTGTCGATGTCTATGTTTTCGGGGGTGCAGAATACGATGAGACACTCAAAAAAATGATTTGGTGCTTTGAAAGTTCATCGAATGATCAAATTTTGACGAAATGGGCCAAAATTCCAAAGAACTTGTGAAAACGTGTTGTATAATGTACATGCTTGCATACGTTTTCGAGGGTGCTCAATACGTTTATAAGCCAAAAAAGCATTTGAACATTGTCCTATCCTTTATTTCTTATATTTTGAAAAAAAAAGGTTCACTATTAGTAGTCTTCCTCATCTTTTCTGCTCCATTCAGCTCCCTGCAGCCACACTGCTTCGTGCCGCAGTGGCCGCAGAGCCCCATGCAGCCACAAGCTCCAAATCCGGGACATGACTTGGGAATCGGTAACAAAGTCATTAAGATTGGGACATACCGTCCATCACCAATTTACCAGCCGCAATTAATCGGGTCTGGTGAATCAAGATACTGATCATGGGCGTTAAACCACACATTAGTACCTAAGAAGAAAACAGACTTAAATTAAAATCCCTCGATTTTTTTTATTTTCTTTTTCTTCCTGTTGATTTCATCTGGAAGTGGCAACGAAGAATGTGTTGATGGATGGCATCAGTGGTAGATGGCAAAAATCATTCGCACTGTCCCAAAAATTGCAACACGGGCTGCGTCTGCCGTTGTAATGTCCGGTCCAACTTGAAATAAAAATGATATTAGTATAAAAACGGCTAACAGTTCTAATTCACCATGTGTCTTAGAAAAGGGACGCAACAAACCTTGTATGAAGCTGGCACCACAAACTGTTCAACCAAACGGAGATCCTCGGGGGCTATATCAGGAGTCTTTCCAAGCTGACTGAGGAGTTTACAGTAGTTTTCTTCAAAGCACTGCTTCCACCGTCCTGTATTTGTTGCAGACCCTCATCAAGATTTAGTATCACATTCGGTGATTGCGTGGAAATCCATCAGGTTTTTGATCTGTTGTGATGTGAGCTTTCTACATAGTTTATGAATTGGAATATACTTTCTATCTCGGGAAGTACCACACATCACCCAGCATTCCTTGCATTTCATATTTTCAAAGTGATAGATGAATGATGAAATCACACTAGTGTCTTTAACAGAAACAACAGCCTCTCTTTCGGTTTTTACGCATGGAGTATATTCCAATTCACGAACTATGTAAGAAGCTTGCACCACAACAGATCAAAAACCTGATGGCTTTCCACGAAATCACTGGATGTGATACTACATCTAAGTTAGCGTCAGTCACAAAAACAGGACGGTGGAAGCAAGTACATAGAAGAAAACTACTGTAAACCCCTCAGTCAGCTTGTAACTCCCGATCTAGCCCCCGATGATCTCCGTTTGGTTGAACAGTTTGTGGTGCAAGCTTTATACAAGGTTTGTTGCGTCCCTTTTCTGAGACACATGGTGAATAAGAACTATTAGCCGTTTCGATACTACTACCATTTTTATTTTGAGTTGGACCGGACATTACAACAGCAGACGCAGCCCATGTTGCAAGTTTTTGGACAGTGCGAATGCTTTTCGCCATCTACCACTGATGTCCTCCGTCAACACATTCTCCGGTGCTACTTCCAGGTAAAATTAATAAGAAACAAAAAAAGAAATTTGATCAAATCAAAGGATTTTAATGTTATTCTGTTTTTTTTTCATATACTAGTGTGGATTAAGGCCCATGATCAGTATCCTGATTTATAAGACCCGATTAATTACGGCTGGAAAATTGTTGATGGACGATAAGTTCCAATTCTGATGACTTTGCCACCTATTCCCAATTCATTTTCCGAATTTGGAACTCGTTGCTGCCAGGGGCTCTCTCAAAATATAAGAAATGAAGGCTTGGACAATGTTCAAATGCTTTTTTGGCTCATAAACTTATTGAGCACCCTCGAAAGCGTATGCAAGCATATACATTATGCAACACGTTTTCACAAGTTCTTTGTGATTTTGGTCTATTTCGTCAAAATTTGATCATTCGATGAACTTTCAATGCTCCAAATCATTTTTTGAGTGTCTCATCGTATTCTACACCCCCGAAAACATAGACATCGACACCTCAATCGTATAGCTGACCGAAAGTAGAAAATAATTTGATTTTAGGGGTATTTTGGACGCCATCTTGAATATCTCACTTCCGGTTGGAATTTCGACTTGATAAACGGTATTTCCGGATTCAGCGGGGTCAAAATAGGGGGTAAACGTCGTTTATCCAATTGTTACATGAAATGCTTCTAGGATTTGGCTTTTCGCAAAACAAGCCCCGACTAAATCGCAGATTCGTGATTGTTTTCACAATACAGATTTTTTTTGCCACGTCCTGTATGATGAATATCAATTCATCATACAACAAAGAAAAAAAAACTATTATTGTTACGTAATAACTAACTATATACGTCTACGAGACGGCAATCTATCTTTCAGTCAAGATATTGCTAAAACTGTACCACATACATATATCATCTTCAGGGAACTGAATGATTGCTGGGTGGAAATAAATTACGTGGTAGGACAATGGCCGATATTGAAATGCTGGGGTACTCCAACAAATCGGATGGTGATATGTTGTCTCTGAGACGTATGATTAGTAGTTGAGGGTTATAATAACCTCGATATCTGATATATTATATCAAGATTTTTTTTCAATTTCGCAGACGTATCCATCCTACTAAAAAACATATTCGAAGTCCAGAAGGAGCACCTCGAGCTCGAGAAACAGAGGCTAGAAATGGAAAGAGAAAAATTAGAATTCCACCGACTGGTAGGCTCAAGACTACTGACGATGTTCGGCAGCATGCTGGAAAAACTGACTTTTCCTACCACCACCAACAACAACAATAACAACATCAAGGAAGGTCTCAGCGAAGACGAAGATCCACCCAAGAAAATGATGAAGCAAGGGATCAAACGGCGCATGCCCGATAGTGACCAGGACGTCCTGAAAGACAGCAAGATCTTGAGGAATGTCCTGGAGGACGGGATAAAGAAATATATGATGGGGGAGGGGATTGAGGACAGCAATGATAACTCTGATATAGTAAAGAAAGAGGCTGTTGACAAGAATTGAGGCTTCTTTGTGATATATTGTTTTGCTCTTACACATTCCCAGAATGACATTCCGTTTTTGTTCAAACATTGTGATTTTATTTATTCTTTCTGTAGGGTTAACTATTTATTTTTTATTTATTTGTATTTCTTGTATCTGCAAAATATAGTGTTTAGTTTTCATCACAACTGTAGCTGGTTTTATTTCCCCTCAACAAAAGTTTGATTCAGATAAAGAGGAAAATTGAATATATATCTTTCAGAAGATTCAGGGGCGGATCCAGACGATGTTTAAGGGGGGGGGGGCATAGAAAGTCATCAGGGCTCAATAAGGTTAGCACGGAAGAGAAATTATATGGTTACTTTCTGAGACAAATGCTTTTTCATTAAAAAAATGTATACTAGTAAATATGAAATCTTTTGATCTCTTTCAAGTATTGAAATTACTGCCCAGCAAACATGATTTTTGCGGCCCTCTGAAGGTACAATGAAACTTGCCGGCGAGCGGTAACAGCGGTCCTCTATTGTACAACTAAATTGGGCCGGCTAGCCCGTGTCCCGGCGGCCGACAGCCGACCGCCTCTCTAGAGCCATCAGTATGCCGCTTATTACATTGCAGGCCTTCTGGTGGGCAGAAGCAAGTACTCAAATGTACTGCATTCATGGCATATCTTCGGCCCGATTGAGACTTTTCAGAGACTGCCATTAATTGGCCGCTTGAGTATTTTTATTTCCCCGATAGAGGAGTTTTTCAGGGCCCTTGGTTAACGGGTTTGAATGAATTCAATATTCATGGTATTCTGTTTTTGATGTCCCATTTCTCAACTAGGTTTGTCAAAAAATATACAGGGTAATGCAAATATCTCAGTGAAAATAGGTTTTCTGATAGGTATCCCAGTTTATATCACCACACTTGGAAAGCAACGTATCTTATTTTCATTCAGATTTGCATCACTCTCTTTATTTTCAAACTGCGGTTAAAAAAGTGGAACTTCAATAAACAGAATTGAGGTCTCCGAGTTTTTTGTGAATCCTTTGGGTATAACAGGAATGTGGAATTCACTCCTTACCTGAAGTTAATGAATAATTACATAAAATCTCTGAGATGGCTTCCTGATATCACAGTTATTTCCAGGAACTAGCAGTATAAATAACCCATACAAAAACAAGAACTGAAAATATTCAAGTGTGTATATTACTGCCATGATCACAACCAATACATATCATAACTATGGAAACATCTTATTAATTCTAGTTCTACGTATCACTCTGTTTACTCATCATAAGAAGGTACCTACAATTTCCAATAATATGTATTTGTGTTTCATCATGCAGGATAGATATTTGTTTTTTCACTTGTTTCTAGAAGTTGCTAACTCTAGGTCAAAAATTACATCACCTATGTACCTACCAAATAACTTGAAAGTTATCTAGGTAATCAGTTATTATATTGATCAAGTTATTGTCAACAATAGAGTTCAATCCACAAGAAAAGAATTCCCATCAGATATGGTGAACCTTACTCTTCATCATATTGATATGAGTGTTGCCTGGAAGTGAGATACCATATACCATGAAGAAATTTATATCATAGTCTGGATCATTGTGTGATTTTCATTAATATCTGTGATTGATGGGCTTCTGGTTGTTGATTTTGTAGCTGAAAGATTGAATGATTTCATTCTCTACTAATCCAAAACATGCAACATTATACATACCTACAGTAATTCTTGAAATATAACTGTTTCTTCAAGTAGGTACCCTTTGATTTTCGTTTCGAAAATAGATTTATGATTCATATGTAATGAAAGCTCATGCATCTTCAAAGTCCTCATATATTACTATATTCTTGTGTATCCGCTGAACATGTCCAAACTATGTTTGTCCAATGGTGTTTGTAAAATTATTGTCTAAAATTGGAGAATAATTATCTAGCTGTGCAAGTCTGTATATATGTTTTTCCCTTACTCACTCTGTGTTTATTTCAATGCCCTTCCATTTTGTATAAAAATCCACTAGAAAACCAAACACGAACTGAACACAGTACTAAAATCTCTGTTGAGTTGAGAGTGTTGAAACAACATAAACAAAGAAATTAATATACGCCATACTGAATCATTGTTACCACTACAAAATGATCAAAATAAAAACGCACGCGAGCGAGGGATGCCAACGTTGAGTGAGTGATGATGGCACACTCCGTTGAAATTTTGATGGCCCTTGGACTTGGATACATACAGCGGGAGACTAGCGGCTGGGAAACAGAGGCCCATCATAACTATGTGTACATTCTGCCTCCGTCACATAATCCTTCGAAATTATATGGAGGGCCTTTCGAGGCATGCCGACATCGACATTTGCCCGCCGTTCTCGCCATGGGCCCGGCTTTCTACCGCCTGTCGATGTTTGCTGGGTGGTGTAAAAAAAACAAGTTCAAACTATTTGATTCAATCCATCAATATATGTAGAATTCTGCAATAAATCATATTGGATGAAAAAAGTGAATGAAAAAATATTCCGCTTGAAATACTTAGGTACAAAAATAGAAAAAATATTCCTTTTCAAGAACAAAAGCAAATGAAACATATATAAAATAAATAATCAAATTTTAAAAACTAAATAACAAATTCCAGTCTTCTATTCTTCTGATTAGCGTATCTTTGGATGATCTCATCAACATTCAGACATTTAACATGTCTTGAACCATTCTGGATCATATCCAATCTTCCTGAGTGCTGAAAAACTCCTTTCAGAAGATGCAACACTCACAGGCAGGCAACATAATAGTTCCAGAATAATGTATTCATGTTAGGAAACAAATGTTTGTTACATTCCTTCAGAGCAGTTATACCATTGTCTAGTATATTTTGCTTAGTATCCCATATTTTCTTCCATATACATATACATTTCAGAAACGATTTTCTGAAAGGAGGACATTTCATCATAGTCCTCAAAAATGGTCGGAAACTGTTCAAGTATATTTCTCATACCTTGATATATTTCCTCATCTGTTTTGTTTTTTGTTATTGATGGTACACTTAGGTGAAGGATCTATAATGGTCATCCAATGAGGAAATCGTAGGATTCTCCCTGTTAGCCAATAAGGGCAACACCATTAAATTATCATTATATCCCTAATAGCACACAACGTCCTAGGGACGTCCCTATTTGGTACAATTCATGTCCGAATGTCCCGAACCAAAAATAAGTGTCTTTGGGACGTCCCATCCCGTACATCTCATGCAATAATGTCCGAGCAAGGACGTCCACGGAATGTCCCAGCTCATCATTTCAGTACATCATTTCAAATGTCCTAGAAATAGCATCCCTTGGACGTCCCACGTGGTACATATTGTAGAATGTCCATGCAAGGACGTCCTTGGCAAGTCCCTGATGGGATATGATTTTAAACGTTCCTTTAGGGACATCCATCGGATGTCCCGAGTAGTATATATATTCTGGCATAACTTCAGATCTTATATAATGTCCCTTCTAGACAACCATGAAATGTCCCTGATGTTACATTCCTTCAAATATCTCTGCACATAGATTCCCTTAATAATTCCAGGATCGTATAACAATCGAAATGTCCCTTAGGGACATTCTTCGAATGTCTCTTAGGGATATCCGTCGGATGTCCTAATTGGTACATGAACTATACTCTTCCAATGTCCTAGAAATATCGTCCAATGGACGTCGCAGTCGGTACTTTCAATATGTTGTCCCTGCGAGGACGTTAACTTACACCTCGCCGACGAATGATTGCTCGTAGGCTATAAGTACTCCTCGTCAATGTCTTTCACGTAAGTCCATCAGACATCCTCGGGAAACTTGATGAGGAATAATACTGTAGGATTTAGGTATTCGATAGTTGTCTCAGGGACATTCCTCAAGGACGTCCCTAGTTGGTCCCCAAGTGGGACATTTGTGCGTCCCACAGACGTCCAATGGACGTTCACGGTACCTGAATGTCCTGGCAGGACGTCCTAAGGATATCCATGGGACATAAGTGTGTTATTAGGGATATTTAGTGTGGGTCGCAGGTGGATATAGCTATAAAGACATACATTATTTTTTCCATTTATTCAAAGAAACCTACATTTTTACATATCCATGATGAGGTTCTCGAGGGGGGGGGCATGGCCGGCATGGATCCGCCCCTGAGAAGATTGAACTAAAAAATTTTGATGTATTCATTATTTGACACAGATAGGTCGTACTTTCATTCAAATCGAAGATTTGATCCTAATAAAAATCGATATTCACTTTTAATTCATCAAACATTCCTAACTGAAGTCGAATTCAAAGATATCTCCAATAGGTAGTTAAATAACATTTCGTTACGTTCATCTTGAATGAGAGATACAAAGTGTTAGGTTCTTTAGACATCAGGAAATTATTATTGAGAAGAATATACACAGTAAAAGAATTTCGGGTGTAGGTACTTTTAATCGAGTGTATTTCAGAAATAACTCTGAATCAACAATTGATTAGCAATATTATACAGGGTTAATGGTAATTCGATACAATCGTCTTGGTGATGTGATAGGGAAGGTGGTAGGGAGTGAATTTAACTCTAATATGGATTATGCAACAGTTAATAGTTTTTGAGATATTCAATTTTTTCTGTTTATCACCAAAAGGTAGACTTCCAGGGTTTAAAAGTTACTTCTCCGAAAATCTGCCTTACATTTTTCCAACCTTTCAACTAGAATACATGATCAACACTTTGGTCTTTTGTTTGGAATGAAAACATTTTACAAATAATTCACATAATAGATGAATTGTAAATACAAAGTCGTATTTTTGTTTGTTAATTGTGGATTTCAACACTTTGTAGCGATTAATTTTAGGAAAATCTCTAAGCCACATTTGTCAAAAATTTGTTCCTGCTTAATGCAATACGTTTCTAACTGGGTACAAATGGTAATAAAAGTGCTTGATACGGGTTTGTTATTTTACATGAATAGGAAAAACGTCCTTGAAACACTTCTAATCATATAGTAATCACTATCAACAAATCCTGTTCAAAATGAGACCTCTATTACGAATAAATGCACGGCAGCGTCTTCTTATTTCCTTCTTTGATATTCTAGTTCTCAAATTATTTTGTATGTGCAGGGCAGCGTCTTCAAAATAGTATCAGCTCAGAGATGTGTTGTAATGGTCTCACTACAGTGGATCATTTC